GTTTTTTTTTTTAAGATAACCTCAGGAGACCTTCCAAAATGCCAAGAAAGCACTGAAAAATAGTAAAGAAATTAACTATTTCAGACATTTTGAGAGAAATAGAGAGAGCAGAAGCAGAGAGAGCAGTATTTGTTGAGATTAGCTGTCTTTCTTTTTTTTTTTTTTTGTGGTGTTTGGATGTGTTCCAGCTCATTTCTGTGCAGAATTTATTGCAGCAGTGTCTAACATATTTTTTTCATGCGAAACATCAAAGTATGGTGTGCCAGGTCCATTTGAGTACCGGGAACATGCTTTGCATGCATTTTTCATGATGCAAAAAGGCATTGGACATCATCTGGAAATGGAAGAGTTAAACATTTTTTTCAAATGCCTATAAACGCAGTTAGCCACAATTAGCTGCGTTTACAAGCATTTTGCGTTTGAAACGCTGATAAAATCTACTGCTGACACAAGTTTTCTGCGTTAAAAAAAGACTGTAAACTCAACTGCCTGTAAACGACTGTAAATGAAGATGTGTACATGGGCACATAGGAAACCATTAGGGTGAGTTCAGGGGCTGCTGAAAAAAAAAAAAAAAAAACGCTGAACAGCTCCTAAACGTGAGTTTATCAGCTGCGGTGCGCATGAGCCCTTATAATCAATGTGAAACCTAAGGGGTTAATCCTCTGCATTGTGTAAAAAGGCAATTTGATCCTGTCTTCTCTGATCCTCCCCTTCTACTGTCCCCAATCCATCTGCTGATAGAACAGAAGCTTGTGGGCAAGCTGCTCAGTTTGGTATGTATTGCTAGAGAAGTTTCTTTTTTCTTTCTTGGGAGAGTGCATGTGATCAGAACAGGGCCAATCAGTGCTGTTGATACTGAGGGTCAGGGGTTATGCAGTCTCATAGGACAATCGGGAGAAAATGAAAACTCCTACAAGCTTTAAGAGGTGCTCTGCTGGACACTGATAGAAGTCACAAGACTGCTCTAACTGCTGATGAGAAAAGGTATTAAGCAGTTTATATTTTCTAAAATAATTGCATTTCCATGTTCTATTTACTGTGGGAGACCAGTTATAGTGAATGCAGGGCTCTGGGTTTAGTAACACTTTAAAATGTATCTTTTTTTTTTTCTCTTAAATTTTGGATAGCATAGAGATAGATTATAACACCTGTCAGTTTTTATTGCTGTCTGGGTCCCTTCCCCTTTCTATTTGTCCTATTGCTATCTTCATCAAAAGTGAAACTAAATGAAAATTCCAAATTTTGGGTTGACATCAGAGCACTAATAGAGAGGAAATTTTCCAATGGGGCACTAATTCTGGTGACACTTTGGAGATATTTCCTCCCACATCCTGTTTTGGCTATGGGACAGGAAGTGAAGGGAAATCTTTCCTATGGGACAGATGAAAAAAAAAAAAAAAAAACTGACGGGGGTTATTACCTTCCCTTACTCTATTCAAATTGGGGAACAAAAAACAAGTTTTGTCTTTTAGTTACACTTTAACCCCTTCACGCTGACGTCACACAAATATGCGGCCTCACGGAACTGGGCTTTTTTCCGTGGGGCCGCATATTTGCGTACCCGTCTTTGTACTGGGAGCGCGCCGCTCGGCGCACTCACAACACAGAGATTGCAGTGTTACTGAGAGTCCCGGGTCTCGTTCTAATGATCGATACCTGGGACTCCTGATTCCGGGTCACATGATCGCTGTGATAGCTTCTGATTGGCTATCACAGTGATCAGTCACTGTACAGCCCGGCCCCCTTGTTTTTTTCTCTCTCTATGAATTGAGACGAGAGATCCATTGTATCTCTCTAATTCCTGGCATAGAGAGAAAAAAAAAGTTTGTAAAAAGAAAATAAATAAATATTAGAAAAAATAAAGAAAAATACCTAGATCAAGTTATGATCTAGTTCAGTGCCAGGGTTAGTGTTTTGGGTCAGGTCAAAGGTCAGGATTTAAAAAAAAAAATTGGTATCCGTGTCAGTTAGTGTTAATGTCAGTGTGTTTTAGGTAAAAAATAAAAAGACAAAAACAAAATGCACACTATTGTTATGTGCACAAATAATATGGTATTATTGCTGCGATCATCAAGAGCTGGAGAATTTATTTTGGGTTGTTCTTTGGTGGTAGGTTATGGTTGTAACAAGAAACACACAGCTAAATAAAAAAAAAAAAGGGTTTTTTTTTTTACTATTTTGGGCCAGTTTTCCTTTGATAATGAAAAAAAATCAGCAGTTATCCATTACCATTTACCACCAAATGAAAGCCCAATTTGTCCTGAAAAAAACAAGGTATAATCCACCTGGATGTACAAAGTAGTTGTGGTGATATGTACAGTTTTACTATCACATGTCAACGTTGCAGAATTGTGATTAGGCATTTAGATTTGTTTTACCCTTAGGCGTGAAGGGGTTAATCTAACTGCCTGGCACTCATTGTAATGATTGGGAATTTAATGGGGATGTATGGCTTGGCTCCAGCTTTCAAGTGGAGGAGAAAGCAAAGTAACCCTTGAGCTGTATAGCATGCAGCCTGTTTTGCACGGCTCACCTGGTCAGTGCTTCTCCTACAAGCTGCTAAGACCATCTGGACTTTTGGTGCACTTATTGATCAGACCTGAGAACTTTAACATTGGAGGTGTACATTTCTTTAGAAAAAATGGTATTTACAGGATCTTCAGGGGGGCTCCAGAAAAGCACTGAGGAGGCAGGCCGGCACTGTGAAGAAGTGGTGCTATGCATCCATTGTGGTATTTTGCTTTTTCTCAGATGGTAATAGAAGGGCTGAAATATTCCATATTCTTGGAGAATGTACTGTTCTGGACTTCCTCCTTTGCTGGTCAAGGCAAGAACTGTAGGCATTGGGGTATAACTTCTGCTGATGGGGAAGATTAGCCAGTGTGTGATTTTCTTGCTTTTTACCTTCCCACTGTTCACCTGAACAAATGCCAAATCATTTGGTTCTGTGAGCACCATCAAGGGGAACCTGAAACCCCTTTTATGTATAAATCACATCATGACTGTTAACATTTCTATAGCATTGCAACTCTTGGTCTTGTGTTTTGATTCCCAGCAGGGATGCTTTCTACATGGAGTTTTCTGTTCTCCTCTGTTCCACAATGCAAAACCAGTTTCACTGCCATTGATGTCTTTTTTTTTTTTTTTTTTTTTTTTTTCTGGCACTAGTATAAAGACCAGCTTTTTACACATATTGCTATGTGATGGATTATAATCCCTTCTGGTATTCAGAGTACCCTAAAAAGGAAGGATCTGTATAACATTGCATGTTTTACCACTGTTCATGGTTATGCAGGGAAAAAAAGTTCTTGTGTTGTGGTGCTGTTTTTCAATGACATCTTAACACACAGTCCATTGCACAGTAATGTATGTGCGTTTTAACAAACTACATGCTGAAGGTTGCTATGGACCCCCTGTGGTTCAGTTTCCAGGGACTTTCAGGGTTTTCAGTAGTCCTCATGCCAGTGTTGTGTGGCTGTTGACAGTTTGATGACAATATACTGTATGTAGCACTACCCTCATAAGGGCCACTGAGTTTGATTTGGGTTCCCTTATGCTCTGCACGAGCAAGCAACACGCATTTTCCAAATTTGTGCTCTGAGTCAATAAAACAGTCCCTATGATGGTTTTAGTCGTTTTTATTTTATTAGGAAATTAACAACTTGTATGGAGTATAGGGGTATATGGGATGCCCAAGGAACTGTAGAATGTGAGGACAAACTTATTAGCAACTATGTAAGGGTGGATTGGCAAAAAATAAAGCACTGTCCCATTTTCGGGGGATTTGCTCAGACCCCAGGTGAATCCTCTTCTTCACCCAACTGTTCTTAGGGAATTCCTGAGCAAGGGGATTCCAAGAGCTTGCAGTTAAGCAGTCCCCGGTGAAGATTAGTTGGGTATTGCACCTGACCGCCCTCTCCCCTTATCAGGTCTAGGGAGTGTAGGAGTACTAACACTGTCTTGTCCTGTCAGTATGGTGGGTTGATAGCTACCTTCAGGCTTTCAGATATGGCTGGCTCCTTCCCTGCTGCTCAGGATGTCCTCCTTAGGAGACCTTAGGCAGTTGAGATCCTCCTGTCCAGCAATCAGCCTGTAGGTAGGCTCCCCTCCCTGAAGCCCCCTCTCAGGCTCCACATTCCAGCCTTCTCTCAATCCATCTTCCACCCAACTCTACTCTGTCCCCAGGCTCTGTCATATTTGAGGGCAGCTCTGGTCACCATGCTCAGCCTCCTGCCAGGGGAAGGTCCCTTGAACATGCAGTCCAGAAATTTCTCAAGTTTCTGGAAAGGTGGGAAGGCTCCAGAAACCCTGACCTGTAGATCCTCCCAGCCTGTGCTGAGGTAAACTCACTGCCTCACTCCCAGGCTGACTCATCCCAGTCTGATACTCTGCTTCTGTGTTAAAAAAAAAAACAAACAAACCTATCTAGCTAACCTAGAGGGCGTTGTATGTACTTTACCCTAAAACCCTAATGCTCAATTAAACGTGACTTGTTCTATTTCCATTTGGGTTTAAAAAGATGATTGTTGTAGCCAAATAAACCCAATATAAAGTAGTCCAGTATTGTTTTTGGGAAAAGGGGCCAACATTGATGAATCCCTTAGTCAAGGACTCAGCTACGATTACCAATCAGAAGCACTTATCTGCTATCTGTGATGCAATGGATAAGGTGTATACTGGGGGTATTGGGTTCTGTTTTAGTTTACTAATTATCCTAATACTGAAAGACAGGTAGACAACCTTATTATTTGAAAGAAAAATGTGGTTGTTTTGTAAACAGTAATTTTCTGAACACTTCGAATCAATTTGCTGGATGACATCAGCACCTTCTTTGCAGGGCAGCATTTAAATGTACTTTGAGTGACAGTCACTTTAAGTAATGATGATGGTGTTCTGGGTCACAAACTTGCTTTCTGTAGTTTTGGTAGAACATGAGTTACATGCTAATGATGTTTCTTCTTTCAGACTGTCCCTCTAATAGATCAAGGGATGAACACATGGAGCTGCCACCAGAGACATCACTAGTCCCATGTGGGAAAGGACAAGTATATTTCCAAGTGAGTTTTTCCTATTGACACCTTTTAGCGCCTTCTCTGACCTCTATAAATCTGATATTCCCTGTTCTGTGTGTCCTTTCCTGACCCTGACATCCTGTGTGATGAGGACTCTGGGGATTTACTAGCTTGATCGGCCTCCAAATGCCCTCTTCAAACTGCTAATCCTATTGTAAGGGCTTCCTATACTTCCTTTACACTTAAACCAGTCTACTGTGAATAATGAGGAGTAAATGGACTACATAATACAGGATTTATGTATCAAAGGAACTTCACAAGCGTTTCTGAGACAAACTTTTTTTAGTGGAGTATATACTCTATTGGATAAGATAAATTCACCAGTTAAAATATATAATATAATACGTAATATACAATCAAATGCATTGCTTTAATTATTGGTCTCTTTTTTCTCTCTCTCTCTCTCTCTCTCTCGCTCTCTCGCTCTCGCTCTTTCTTTCTTTCCTCATCCTTGACCGCCAACACACTTGCTGCCAGTTGATAACATTGCTAAGCTTCCTATCACTAAATAGTGATGTTCTACTTGTTCTGTTTCAAATGCCACTTTATGCATTGGCATAAATCCTTAGACCCAGTATGGTCACCTGCTGACTTGGCACCACCCACAGCCAGCTTGACTCTTCAGTAAGACACAGAAGGTGAATCCAGCGTAACTTTACTTCAGCTAACTGAAGTACAGAGGATGCTTTTCTATTATGAAGTGTAAGAAAACAATGACTTTCCTAAACACGGTCTCTATGAATGACTAATACTGACTGAGGGAATATAGAGGAAACAGGGAGGGTCTAGCTAAGACTAAACTAACTAGCAATAAACAGTGCAATAATTGATTCTTTCACTGCTTGAGTGTTGAACTGCTCATGGACCATAACAAGGTAAAGGTCTGCTTTCGTTGTTATACAGTGGCAAGAAAAAGTATATGAGCCTCCTTTTGAATTACCTGTATTTTTTGCAGCAATTTGCCATCTGAAGCTTAGTTTGTTGGGTGATGCAGCAGGACAATGACCCTAAGCATAGACAAAATGGATTAGCCCAGTCAGAGTCCAGACCTTAACCCCATAGATGTGTTGTGGAATGACCTCAAGAGCCGTTCACACCAGACATTATCAAATGGGTCTTAGATTAAACAGTTTTGTAAAGAGAAATGGTCAAAAATTCCTCCTGGTCTGATTCAGAGCTACCAAAAGCTGATTGCTTGAAGTCATTACTGCCAAACAAGGTTTGACCAGATATTAACTCGAATGGTTCATTTACCTTTTACTCCAGCACTTTGAATGTTTAATAGGTGTGTTCAATAAAGGCAGGAGAAATTTGAATTGTGTGTTTTCAGCGTAAACACATTAGGGTTCCCATATGGAAGAATTTGAAATATATATTAATATATATTTGAAATATATTTGAAAAATATATTCTTATATATTATATATTCTTTGAAATATATATTCTTCACAAATATATTGACATATATTTGAAATGCTACAATTTTGGCCATATTCAATATAAATCAAAAAAAAAAAAAATGATAGATAGATAGAGATATATATATATATATATATATATATATATATATATATATATAGTATGTTTAAATGCATTTTAATTATAAAATATATGAAAACTATTTTTAAAAATAAATTTCAAATATACTGTATGTCTTCAAAACTACAAATCTAAATTTTTGGAATTCATTTACAAATGTAAAAATATATGTTAAAATGACTTTTTTATATGTTACAAATCTGAAGAATATATTTAAAAAAAATAAATTAAATATATTCTTCATGTATATTTTGAAATATATTCCATGTGGAAGAGTGCACAATCTGTGATGCAGCTCTGCGTAGAAACCAGTCATCTTTTATTTATTTATTTATTTTTTGTCAAAGAATAATTTAACAAGCTGACATTAGGAGCTGATTGGCTACCATGCGCAGCTGCACCAGATTTTACACTCTCCAGTTTTAGTACATCAACCCCAATGTATTTGTCTACTGTCACATACTTTTTCTTGACACTGTAAGTTCAGAATTTAGTAACCGTAGACATGTGAATGCATTATGAGGGAAACTATGAGACATTAAATCTTTTTATTAAATTTAATTGGCCGACAAATGCAGTGAAAAACTGCATGTGTTTGAAAGTAGGGTAACAATAAAATATACTCATAAGCCCTGTTTCACACTGGTGTAGTGTGTAGTGTAGTGTCGAGCTGAAGTAGCGTGATTTTAAAGCTGCATTCGGTGTGAAACAGGGCTTATTGCTGTTTTATTAAACATTCCAGACCATTTTTCTAGTGGATAAAGTGAGGAAGACTTAAATTTCCTGTTGGGCCTCTTTTTGAAGCTTTTGTCCCTCTGTGTGAGGGTTTCCCTCACTCCTTGGCTTGGTAATATTGATCACTCAGGCAGAAAATGATGCAGGAGATACAGGAATAAAAAACATTGTAAAGATAGAAATACAGAACTGCCACTCCTGACCCAGGGCTGTCATCTTTCTCCTTTCTTTACTACAACTGTGGCCAAAAGTTTTGATAATGACACAAATATGAATTTTCACACATTTCATAAGTGTCAAAGGCTTTTATTGACAATTACATTAAGTTCATGCAAAGAGTCAATATTTGCAGCATTGACCCTTCTTTTTCAAGACCTCTGCAACTTGCCCTAGCATGCTGTCAGCCAACTTCTGGGCCACATCGTGACTGATGGCAGCTCGTTCTTGCATAATCAATGCTTGGAGTTTGTCAGAATTTGTGGGGTTTTTTTGTTCACACACCTCTTGAGGATTGACCACAAGTAGTCAGTGGGATTAAGGTCTGGGGAGTTTCCTGGCAATGGATCCAAAATTTCGATGTTTTGTTCCTCACGCCACTTAGTTACCACTTTTCCCTTATGGCAAGATGCTCCATCATACTGAAAAAGGCATTGTTAATCACTAAAACTGTTCTTGGAGAAGTTGCTTTTGGAGGATATTTTTGTACCATTCTTTGTTCATGGCTGTGTTCTTAGGCAAAATTGTGAGTGAGCCCACTCCCTTGACTGACAAGAAACCCCACACATGATGGTCTCAGGATGCTTTACTGTTGGCATGACTCAGGGCTGATGGTAGCGCTCACTTTTTTCTTCTCCTGACAAGCTTTTTCTGGATGACCCCAAACAAAGGGGATTCATCACAGAAAATGACCACCCCAGTCCTCAGCAGTCCAATCCCAGTACCTTTTGCAAAATATCAGTCTGTCCCTGATGATTTTCCTGGAGAGAAGTGGCTTCTTTGCTGCCCTTCTTTACACCAGGCCATCCTACAAAAGTCTTAACCTCACTGTGCATGCAGATGTGCTCACTCCTGCCTGCTGCCATTCCTAAGCAAACTGCACTGGTGGTGCCCCGATCCCACAGCTGAATCAAGTTCATTTTCATGGCAAAGAAGGACTTTGCAATTGCAATTCATCTGATCACTCTTCATAACACCTTGGAGTATATGCAAATTACTGCCATAAAAACTGAGGAAGCAGACTTTGTGAAAATTAATATTAGTGTAATTCTCAAAACTTTTGGCCACAGCTGTACTTAGTTAGTGAGCTTGAACAGATATATGCATATTGGATGAAGGGAGGTTTAACCTGTGCATAGCTGTTATAGGTCAATGATCTATAAAGTCATAAAGAGAGAATAAGAATGGCAGTCTTGGAAAATTCACCTTCAAAAACAGATTAAGTTAATTGGCTCCTGTCTAAATTGCCCCTAGTATGTATGAATGTGAGTTAGGGACCTTTAGATTCTAAGCTCCTTGAGGGTAGGGACTGATGTGAATGTACAATATATATGTAAAGCGCTGTGTAAATTGACAGCGCTATTAAGTACCTATAATAAAAAATTAATATAAGCAGTGGTATGTTAATGTTTAAGGGACTGCATTGATGTGCTATTTCTAACATCATAACTCATTCTCCCCATACACGTTAATTGGAATGCAAAAGCAGCTTGAATTAGGTTTATGCAGCTCAGAAGGTCAGATGCTCCTGTCAATGAACTCTAAATGATCACAGAAATGTCTCGTACTGATCTTAAATGCCAAAGGAATGCAGCTGAAAGCAAGATGCATTTGATCATCAACACATGACCAAAACCCATCATCATGCCCTTACTGTTGTCTGTATCATAGTAGGGAGATTTGTCTCTGAGACCTTGGTCTTCAGGACAGGAAGTGAGAGTGATCTTCGCAGTGTTCAATCAACAGCAATAAAAAACTGACTGGGTTCCTAACCCTTTTATCATTCTATCCAAATCAAAAAGAAATGTTTTGCACAGAGTTTTTTTTACAAGTCCCAGTAGATATGTTCATGTCTGGCACAGTCTTTTCTATATTTGGACTGGTCATGGCCATCCTAAAAAAAAAGAAGATCTCATAATTGGAAACAAGATGGCAGGTTATATAGAGGTAATTGGTTGGTATGCAATCAGACATGTTCTATTTTCTTTTGCCCCTGCAAAAGTGTGCACCGAAGTCTACTATGATAAAGATGATCACTGTGCCTGCCTAAGTTAGGGTTAGAGAATTCTTTTTTTTGAACCAAAGTGGCAGTCATTCAATCATTGTCCTTATTCATACACGTAAGGATAATTGACCACAGTTTAATTCATGTCAACCTATCATTTGTTTGCGAATGATTTATGCAGCAAAGACTGCTTGGAGTTGTTCTCCTTTTGATGAAAACAATTGTTTTTTTTTCATTAATTTGCCTATTTAGTGATGAGCTCATTTAAATCAGTCCAGCACGGTCTCCAGCTTGAAGTAGCCCATTTAGTGAAGTCATTCACTGTTTGATCTGTTCATTCAGCACCACCATTTCCTAATTTAGCCATTAACTGCCATAGATTTCTGAAAGATTCACTTCTTTAATTGAAACGGTAATTTACGATAGAACAAAATTATGTTTATGACCTGCATAGTTTTGTACAACTTATAAAATGGTTCTATGCTTCAACAGCAGCACATGAAACCTGGAGCTTCTCTGTGAAGTTTCTGCATCCCAGTCAGCCTACTGACCTACATAAGCCAACTAGCACCTGACTACATATCATGTATGCCTATCACATCAGACTCAGTCTGTTCTCCACAGAGAAAAAAACAGAGAGGAATTCATCTATAGATTCCTTTTTAGAGGACGATGTGTTAAGCATGAATGTAAAAGTCACACATTGAACCCCTTTGTTTTTGTTATGCCTATAGGCAGAGAAACTGCTTGGAATCTTTGAACTTCTCGCTCCAATGAGAATATACACTTGACAGGCTGATCTCGCAAATGATTGTGTCAGGGGAGTTTTGGAGAACTCTGATCAGTCTTGTCTTTTTTTTTTTTTTTTGTAGGAATGAGCTACTGGCACACTTGAAGAATTATAATCTTTATTATGAAGGACAGAACCTACAGCTGAGGCATCGAGAGGTAAAGTAAGCGGGTCTAAAGTTCCTTTTGGAACTGAAAGCCTTTTTTCTACTAGCCATTAATAAAGTGCTGATGTCTTAAAGTGGTATGAAACTCTTCCTGCTGAATTTCCCCATTTAAATAATTAAGATTCCAACCTTCTCCGTTTTCTTGTAGTCCTGGTCAAGAGAATGACACCATTTGTGATGAGATATCCAGTGTCCAGCTTTCTCCTCCAACCAACATACCAGGCCTAACACTACACTCAATACTTTCCTCCTTCGACACTGTTACCACTGAGGAAGTTGCCAAACTCCTTTCTGAGAACCACCTCACCATCTATCCCCTCACAATTACTACTACGCAAATTTTTCTCTGTTCACAGCGCACTCCTTGTGCTGTCAGTCCTTTCATTACATGCTGTGGCTCTGTCATCTTTTCCCTGTGGCACTAGGCTGAGATATCATGAGATTACAGTCCCATTCACAGGTACGGGTTCGCGATTGTACGTGGGACAAAGTTGCCATAGCAATCCCAGGAGGGAAAACCAGGCTTGGCGATAAAATTACTGAGTATGAGCAAGATTACGGCAGGATCAAACAGAGGATGGACGTACAGTGCACTGTGGACTTGAGAGACATTACCTAACATGGTGCCAGCTTCTCCTAGGAAGCAAGGTTTTAAAAACCACTTAAAAAAAAAAAAAAAAGTAAGAAACAAAGGGGGATAATATTAATCAAAAAGGTGTGTGAACAGGATGTTCACAGAAAAGCGGTTACAAAAAAGACACAGCGGTAAACCAACACATAATAGTGTAATGCTTTTATTAGCAAAAGATACAATGTATACCGAATATTAGTGAAAAATAAACTGCATAGTAGCCCTCACCTTAGACAACAAAGTCTATGCAACCTAAAAACAACAATAAAAGAGACATAATTGCATGACCACAATGAACAATGTGCTAAATTGGCAACGACAATGTAGTCTTCTGCCAAATTGCAACAAAAACATTGGGGTGCACCACCGGGATATACACTGTGAACCTGGTATGTAAGTAGTTAAATGAAACCAGCAGGGTATGGATGGTAACAATATGCTGAGATATTGAATGTGTACAATCCTGTCATGGTGAGTGAATAATAACAGTCCCGGAGATGGGATAAGTCACTTGATACAACTTGAATCTAGGCACCTGAGTCGGGGCTTGCAAAGTCCATAAATGATGGTCCTGACAAAGCTGAGTAAGATACGCCTATCGGCGTAACGTGTTAACGTCATACGTCAGTGATGTGACGTCACTGACGTATGACGTCAACATGTTTCGACGATGGGTGTATCTTAGCTTCATCAGGCTGGCTTCATCCATTGGGGCGACGCACACTTTCCCGAGAAGTGACACGAGGAGTCACGGCAACTTCATCCAGTGCAGATTACCTATTAATGGCGGCACCTATTTGGAGGCAGGGCTCTGCCTGTGGAAATCTTCACTCTGGCAGCTGCCATCAAGGATTTCATCTACCCTAACAAGGGTGAACTTGTCTTTTATCAGCAACAGCAGGTTGTGAGTTTCCACACCCCGTTCATGTTTGTGCGACACTTTACTTTCAATAAGGGTGAACAACACTCTACAAGTTACCCTATACAGCCAGTAAGGATTCTTACATAGCACATATTGGATGATTTCCACGGCAGTTCTTTTTTTACATTTACTCTAGAAATCCTGTTAATCAGAGGATGTTCCATCTAGTTCAGCAATGGGCAAACTACGGCCCGCGGGCCGTATACGGCCCTTCGGACCTTTTAATCCGGCCCGCAGAGCTAGGCTCCCGCTAGGCTCCTCTCGCAGTCCGCCCTGAAGACCGGTGTAGCATGAAAATCTGTCTCCTATGAAGATCTGTCCCCCTCGACGTATCTGCGCATGTGCCGGAGATCGCCGATCGGCTGCTAATGCCTGAAACTGGCACATGCGCAGATACGTCGAGGGGGACAGATCCTCATAGGAGACAGATTTTCATGCTACACCGGAACGGCGCGGGAACACGGCGAGAGGAATGCGCGGAGCAAAGGTAAGTGAATTGACACAGGGGGGACTTGGGGACTTAATATGGGGAATGAATGAATTAATATGGGGAATTAATTACTATATGGGGGATGAATTACTATATGGGGGATGAATTACTATGGGGGATGAATTCCTATGCTTACTAAGGGGGAATATTACTATACTTACTATGGATGACACATACACATCATTCATCTACTCTTGGTCCGGCCCCCGGGTCCAATATATGAACCCATTGCGGCCCTCAAGTCAAAAAGTTTGCCCACCCCTGATCTAGTTGATGCCTATATCACATAGTGTTCCCATCTGCACTATCTTTATCATTTATTGAGTTTGCAAGCCCTGACTCGGGTGCCTGGATTCAAGTTGGATCAAGTGACTTATCCCATATCTAGGACTGTTATTATTCACTCACCGTGACTGCATTGTACACACTCAATATCTCAGCATATTGTTACCATCCATAAACCTGTTGGTTCCATTTAACTACTTTCATACCAGGTTCACAGTGTATATCCTGCTGGTGCAACCCCATGTTTTTGTTGCAATTTGGCAGAAGACTACATTGTCGTTGCCAATTTAGCACATTGTTCATTATGGCCATGCAATGACGTCTCTTTTATTGTCATTTTTAGATTGTATAGACTATGTTGTCTAAGGTGAGGTGATGGCTACTATGCAGTTTATTTTTCACAAATATTTGGTATACATTGTATCTTTTGCTAATAAAAGCATTACACTATTCTGTGTTGGTTTACTGCTGTGTCCTTTTTGTAACCGCTTTTCTGTGAACATCCTGTTCACACACCTCTCTGCTTTATGTTCTTTTGGTTACTGGACAGCACTGATTTAGTGTAGCGGAACCCATTAACACTTATGCCTCCTCTAAGTTTGTTTTTCCACGGGGGATAATATTAATGCCTAATGTTTTGTAAAGCTTTATTGTACTTGCTTTATTAAAAAAAGGAGTATATGAGGGCAAAGTTTACTACCACTTTAAAAAGCATCATACTTGCATAAATTAACACAAAATAATCAGGAACAATGCATTTGCTCATTAATACTCAGACCTTAATGGCTTGGCCAAACTGTCAACATAATGCAGCCCCAGTATATAAAGTAGTACAAACAGGGCCAGTGTGCCGGAAAAAAAAAACAGAATGACCATTTGCAGTGTGTATGGATTACAGAAGACTTCTTTGTTTTATTGGAACTAATCTGATGGAAAATCAGATGGAAAATGTCCAGTCTGGGCCTATTTTAACAAAAATTGGTACAGCTTCAAAAATAGTATAAGGAACACATTCCTAGAAGAATTGAGATGCAATTCTAACAAAAAGGTTAATAGTTAAAGGATTAAAAAGGGTTCTAATATTGCTTGATTTCTTAGGCTTCATTCTCCAAAATATCAACTGGATCAATGTAAACACTGTACCAATAGTTTTTTTTTTTTTCTGCACCAGGGTTCCATGGAAGGAGGCAACGGTTTATATACTTATTTTCAGTTTATCATGGCAGATACACAGTGAAAACAGGTTAAACTTCATCCTGATAGGTTAGCTCTGATATCATGGAAATGGTTCATTAAGTCTCCTAGTAGAATGACACTGTCACAGTATACAGTTTGTTAAGATGCAAATATAGTCATTTGTTAAAAAGAATTCACCATAAGGAGTTTGCGGTATAGTGGTACCTCGGTTTACGAATTTAATGCGTTCTCTGCGATGTTTCGTATTGCGAAATATTTGTAAACCGAAATGTGGTTTCGCATAGGAATGCATTGAAAAACACCTCCACACTCAACGCCACGTACTACCCACAGACTCCAGCATGCACAGGGGGGTGGTGCTATAAACCTGCTAGGTGCAATGCATCCTGGGGAAACTTGCTTTGTATTGCGGAAAAAATTTGTAAACGGAGGAATTATTTTCAATGGATTCTAATTTGTAAACCGAAAATCACGTTAACCTAGGCGTTCGTAAACCAAGGTACCACTGTATATGAAAAAGTCCAGCAGATAAGTTTTGCTATATTCTTATAACCAACAGTTCCTAACATGGTTACATGGTGCATTACATTCCATGATTACGTTAGATGTAAACACACGATTCAGGAAAACAAAGTAAAATTAAAATGATCCCTTGGAGGGTGTTGATGATGAGTTAATTTTTTAGAAAAATCAGGTGGTATTTATCAGCCACATGTTTTCAGGCAGAATATAAAGAAGGAAATGTGATCTGCCGAATCCCCTATGTGTCATTTGTGGTGGTCTGCTGGAACCTGTCAATGAAAACTGATTACATTATCACATCTCTATAGCCATTTATCATACATTCTATTTTCCAACATAAACAGTAAAAAAACTTGACATTTACTTACAAACACACACAACATGTATGCTCGTGTCATGTTATATGGCTTATCATATAGAGTAAAACTCCTTATAATATAGAAGATCTGACCTGTCACTAGCCCGCCTTTAGGAGGCAATGGTAATGGGGGCAGTGCTATAGCCAGTATACAGTATAATTTGACAGAATGAAAAAAAAGTTGGGTCTAAAGAAGACCTAGTGGCAGATACAATTTTCTGTGCTGCATACAAGCACAGGTTTAGCAATGTGCAGGTATCCACTTGGATTGGATTAATTACCTCTCACAGAGATCCTGGTACTCCTCCCTGGTTTCCTTTGTTCTCTGGAGATGGGGGATATCTTTGTTCAGGCATCATGCGGTGTGAGCATCAGATTTTATGCAGAGACACTGGTTAAGTGATGACACAACCATCTATATAAATCAGGATTCCTCAACTTTACTACTCCTGAAGGACCCTTAAAAATTTTAAGTTCTCAGGGAACACCTAAATATTGTTTATACATACAGATTATGGTATATTAACATGATGGATAACTGCAGAAAATTTTACATATGTATTGCAGCGTATCTAGAGTATAAGCATATTTGACATTCAGGTTATATAACTTTTAATACCCCACCTACAAAATATTTATAGGTAATCTTCTTAAAATTAAATCACAAAATAGAAGTGCAAACAGTAAAAATTGCAGTCAAAAAAACTTTTTTCACTGCACTTGGTGATAAAACTATAATCAACAATGCAGTATCCACCATGTACTCAAGATATGTTAATACCAATGTGTTGCACTGTATATAGATGAATAAATAACCGGAATAAAAACCAAACGTGATTCTTCTAAGTGACAATAAACCAAATTCGTGAAGAAAGTATCCATCAACAACAGAATCTTGTGAGAAGTGTGTCCACCACAAGCAAAAACAGCCTCTTACCAGATTCCTATACCCCAAATTTAGGTGGTCTATACGGCTTGAGGCTGTATATATCCCGATGCTGTGATTATAACCTTTGTAGATGTTCCGATGATACGATCTCTTTTCCTTTCTGTTTGCCACAGAAATACTCAAGTACAAATTAAATTCTCCATAGGAAAGTACCATCAAAGATTAATTGATAAAAAAAGGTAATAATTCTACTTACAAAAATAATATAGATAAAACCACATATAACAGATGCCGCTGGTGCCGGCTACATCTAGTGAGGATAATTCTGACTAGCTGGCGCCAACAACATTGTGATATATAGAGCTTCATGCCATATAGACCACCTATATTTTGGGGCCTAGAAATCTGGTAATAGGCTGTTTTTGCTTGTGGTGGACACACTTCTCACAAGATTCGGTTGTTGGACGCTTTCTTTACGGGAGAATTTATTTAAATGTGGACTTTGGTTTATATGTCTTTTCGAAGTAATCACGTTCATTTGTTTAATATCGGTTATTTATTCTTTTATTATTTGGTTACATTATTCATATACACAGCGCAACACATTGGTATTAACAAGTTAAAATTGAGTGTCTTAATATTGATGGTCAGTGTATACTGGATGCCTTTTATTGGTGATAAATGGAAAATTGCCCTTTTTTGTCATTGTGCATTGCTGAAGGAACCCCTAGCAACCTCTGGAGGAACCCTGGTGGAAAAGCACTGATCTAAATGTAGCTAGGTAAATTTTAGGGTTTTTTTGGCTGCACTGTAGTGAGTTAAGTGCCTGTTGATTGTTTGTTTTTAGTCTGATCAGGGTTCCTGAGCTGGGAGTTTGATTGCTTCTGCCTACCTCTGGAATAAGTTTCCAAGCACAGGGAGGGAGATTCAAATGATCAGCTGAATATTTATCATGCCCTGCCCAATCCCTGGAAGGGGGCACCAGAAGGTGTCTGGGGTGGTGATAAATATACAGGAAGCCTGAGCAGATTGTTCTTTCCTCATCAGAGAGGGTTCCAGGACCCTTGGGGATGCTGCCCCTAGGAGAAGGATCACTGAGATACGAGACTATTGTTTGGGCCTCAGTGGTTGCTGGGCTGAGGGCCTGAGGAGAATTGATGAAGAATTACACTTGCTAAAGGGCACTGTTTCAGAGCCTTAGCCATGGGAGAGACTTTTTTTATCTCTACTCATTTCAGATCTACCTGTGGAAGCTGGGTGGCAGGCAGCTAATGGACACTTACTGGGGACTGATAATTGCACACATTGGAAGGGAATTGATCGCCAGAGATTGTCCTATGGTCTGCAGCTGTGGGGCCTTCCACCTACTGCCTACTCCCTCTTATTTTTGGAGAGGCTGCTATTGAGGGACTAGAGATGTTTGTCCTTCTATTGTAGTTGTTGATCATTTTGGAGTGTCCCATGACCCTAATCCCCTTCCTCCTGTTAAGTTCTTCTGCAAAAAACTCAAAAAACATCCCCTAGACCAGGGGTAGGCAACCTGCGGCTCTCTAGCTGTTGTGGAACTGCATTTCCCATGAGGCATTGCAACATTACAAAACTGACAGTTACAGCTATGACTTGCAGAGGCATGATGGAACTTGTAGTCCTGCAACAGCTGGAGAGACGCAGGTTGCCTACCACTGCCCTAGACTGAGCTTTAATTATTGTTGTGCTTAGACATAAAAATTAGCTAAGCTTATGAATGACCCTAAAAAATGGCGGCCTCTAGTGCTATTCACCCATTAGGGACGTAACCTCTCTGCAATTCTGCATATTGCGCAATTGATACTGGTGACCAATAGAAAATTGCGCTACTGAGATGATGCAAATAGCCTTAATGCATCACTTCCTGGTTGTGTCTACATATGTTGTCTCATGCTTTGCTCTCAAATTGTGAGCTGTTAGAAGGCTACATTGATGGGATGGTTGTGGGAGATGATCCTGACGTGCAGTTGTAGAGATAGCCCTTTCTCGAATACAAGAGAAAAGCCAAGAGAAGCAAAAACCACACAAACTGAAGAGACAAAACTAGTGAGAATCCTAAGTATTAAAATGATTCAACTTAGCTTATTGGCTATAATTTTTCTTGGTAATCCTATGCAATATATTATGCCATTTCAGGCTTTTTATGTAGTCAATATCACTTGCTTTGTTATTTGTGACATCTATCTATATAATTACATTATGTAAAGAGTCAAAAACAAAAAATTAATTACGCCTAATAGTAGAAAAATTTCCGTTTAAGAAATAAAACTAGAGCCAATTGACAAATTTCATTGCAGGTCATATTTACCCCAGATTCCTACTCTCAGGTAGACATATTGACTGTAGGCTATGCAATATATTATGCCATTTAGGCTTTGTTATGTAGTCAATACTTTATATTTGTGGAAAGACATCTATTATTAATTTTTTTTAGGAGAAAAAAACTCATAAAGTGTCAGAAATGCATTAATACAGGCTTGTAAAACGGTGATGGGCTCATCTCCTTCTATAAAAGTGGACCTAATACTGGAAAACAGAACCACAGTGATATCCCAGTCTAGAAATCTTACTAAAAACGTTGTGTCAATTATTAGGGACTGTTGGCAGATTTTTCAATATTTACAGCAGTGAGTCTAATAAGAACGGAAAACTCAGCCAAAAGAAATAAACAGATCAGTGAAGACAGACCACCAGTCCTCAATACAAGGAATAGACAGAGGCACGTCTGTTGTTACTAGTGCTGTCTATGTACACAATTCATGTGAATATTTCTATTTTAATATAAAGATTGCATTCTTCCTCATCACAGGAAGAAGGGGAGCTGATTGTGGAAGGACTGTTGAATATTTCTGGGGTTTAAGACGACCCATCAGGCTTCAGATGCAAGATGACAATGAAAGAATACGCCCACCTCCATCTTCCACGTCCTGGCATTCCGGGTGTAACCTTCTCACTCAAGGGTAAGACTTTAGAGGTGCTCCTATCTCATGTATAATTTGTCATATTATTTCTCCGGTTATACAGTATATATTGCGGTAACTTCTTTGAACAAGCCAATGAGAGTTCAAATACAGTCACTAAAAACATTCTGATAGCAGACTAAATGACACTGTCAAGCTCTTGGCCATGAAGGGTACAATGTTACCAGATTTGGTATACTGTGAATACAGAATGGCAGGCTGCCAAGATTCTGTTAACATAGTACATAGATAAGATTTCAGTGCCTCTGTTGTGAACTTTCGAAGAAGAATTTATCCACATTGTCTGTAGCTACAAGGGTAAATGGGGGCTCATTTTCAAGGTGCTCTTAATGTGTAAATGTTTTAGCATACATGATCTGGACACAGGTTCTCTTTAAAGTGTATCTAAACCCAAAAACAAAAATATAATTTATTGCAGATACCAATCTGTAGATGTGGTGGATGCATTAATTTCCCTTTTTCAGGCTTTTCCCCTTTTTATTTTCACTTTGTGTGTAAATATATAGCGTGTGTGTCTGTTTTGGGTTTAGATACACTTTAAAGTTTCCTAAAATACAACATGTATGCTGTTTTTATTGTGTTCTTCTGTAACTGTCAAGGAAGATGGAACACTTTTTAGTCCAGTATACCCATAAGTGGCCACTCTCGCTCTTTGTCATAGCTAATAGGTCTGAACTAGGGGAAAACTCATGCCGTGCAAGCTTTGAATGCTTTGTGTGTCAGCTGTCAGCCATCCTGAAGTCATGGAGGGGATGAACAAAGACACATAAAACCTTATTAAGCAAAAAGCACCATTATGCAAGCTCAAGTCCAGCCATTTTGTGTGTGTGTGTGTGTGTGTGTGTGTGTGCGTGTGTGTGTGTGTGTGTGTGTGTGTGTGTGTGTTAGGAGAGAGATTTGCTTTGTAGTGCTAGTACTGGGATGAATAACCCATCGTGCACAAATAATACTCTGAATTATAAATCTTCTTTGTAGTAATTCAGAGTATCATGTGCTATCTAGTAATTCAAACTACTTTCTAGAGAATTGAATGTGGTTTTTTTTTTTTTTTTTTTATCTCATACATAAACCGCTTATGATTTAATTAAGACAATTTAATTTATTTAATTGAATTGAGATACATTTAAGATAATTTAAATTTGTATCTAATATGTAAGCAGGGCCCTGTTTTTAATCATTTATTTTACGAAAGACAATTTTCAAGGGTGTTGTGTAACTGCAAATGACCTGATCTGCCATTTTTATATGAAAGTAAATTTTCATTCTTTGCAGTTTCTAATGCTTTCCCATGGAATCAAGGGACCATTTGGATTTTGTAATGAATCTATCCATGGCACAGCATGATTTAATTGTATCATCTAGTCAAATTGCAGTAATTTTAAGGACCCTATCATAATATATAAACAATCTGAATGGGATAGGTCTGTGTTGTTCAAAGCTATTAGCCTGGGTTCACACTGCTACTCGCATGTGAATCGCACAGCATTCTGATGCAATTCACATGCATTTCTGTGTGATGCGATTTGAGCCCATTCGTTTTGATTCCACTAAAAAATCAGAAAATGAAAGGGAGAATCTGTTTGGTTGATATGGCCAATGCCAATCTTCTTCCTCTTGATAAATGAAGATCCTGGTATGGAAATCCCGTTAGTTCTGGCTTTATCTGATCGAAGCAGCTGAATGGTTACTGTTCTGGGTTGTGGAAGGGGTGGGAGGCTGGATTCACAAAGCCTTTTTTTTGGCAGTATCCTGTGACTTCTAGATTCCAGGCTCTGCTTCCAAACACAACAAAGAAGAACACTGAGCTTCAGGACATGTGAAAATCATCTGTGCAACTATTTTATGGCTGGAAAATCTTTCCATGATTAGTTTAAGCTGTCCAAAATACAGAGCTTAGCAACAGATAACAACTTCTATTGATGTTTATGCCTGCTGTTCATTTATTGTGCACTATATGTGGGCGAGAGGTGACTTTGTGAAAATAGAAAACAACTGCTGACTTGGGTTTTAAACGTACCATCATGCTTATCCTTGATTAACTGTTTAGTGGGGTTAACTGATCCGGAGCAAACACGCAGACCGTGAAATCTGAAGAATTTGAGCTGCTTGCTTGTTTCAGATTAGTAGTAAAGCAACTGGGAGATTGCATGTGCAGCAGCTCACAGGCCCCCCTTAACACTTACCTGAGCCCCATCCTGATCCAGCAATATCCATGAGAGCCTCAGTTCTCCGGGAACTCTCACTGCTGATTGGCTGAGGCAGCAGCAGGAACCTTTGGCTCCTGCTGCTGCCAATTGCAGCCAGTGAGCCAATCAAGAGAGGGAGGGGGCGGGCTTGAGCCGCAGCTCTGTGTGTGAATGGACATGCGAAGCCATGACTCGGGAGCACGCCTGCTCGGGTTCCCCCATAGCAAGCAGATTGCTATGGGGGCATCCGACAGGAAGGAGGGGCCAGTAGCACCGATGGAGGATCCAGGCTGCTCTGTGCAAAACCACTGCACAAAGCAGGTAAGTATGACATGTTTGACTTTAGTATAACTTTAATATATTGCTGCTTACTAATCATTAGATGTGGTGACTGCATTCATTTTCTTTACGCTTTTTTTTTTCTGCTCTTTTAATTTTTTTTTTCACCTCTGTTTTCACCTAGCGATCTGGCCAGTAACACACCTTCTGTATTATAATGCCTCAACTCTGGATGAAGGAACACAAGGGGGCACCTGTGGACAGCAGCATTGTCCGTCTGGTTGGAAGGGAGTGTTAGATGTACTAGAAGATTTAAACACACTAACAAATTGGAGCCAAACTCTAGCTCACACTGCAACCTCAAGATAAATTTAGAGCACCTCTTGATGCCAGGGACTCTGCTCCCATAGCCTGCAGGAATGAAGGAGCGAAGGTGTATCAGTATGCTCATCCAGAGCAGCTTGTGCAGTAAATGACTAGGCGGGCAGGGTGAAACACAGGGGGCATGGTTTCTTGAGGGAGACATGTAGGCTGAAGCTTTTTCTTACACATATGTCACACTGGCTGGTTGGGAGAGTGGCATTTCTTTTCATTTAGTCCACTGCAGTTACAGAAGCAGTTACAGCAACACTTTTTGGGGTTAAGGCTTTACATGAATAAAAGCTGGTAATTGTAAGCACCCCTGTCAGTGTTTAATGGTTTGTCTCAGCACTCTACAGCATATGGATACATTCTGCAGGAGAGCTTGCCATTTTGAAAAACCACAGACTTACTTTCCAGATCACCAGGTGAAAATAGAAGAGAAAACTAATGCAACCACATAGTTTAAGGATTGGTAAGCTGCAGTATAGTAAATGTTTGCTTTTGGATGTAACACTACTTTAAGTCATCTGATAAAGTGTATACAAGGGCTCCACCATAGGTAATGCAAAAGTGTGCATACATATTTTTATTAACTTACATAGGTCCTTCACTTTTCACAAGTTAGAGCAAATCTTCTTCTATAGTAACTCTTCTTTTTCATTGCAGGTGAAAAAAAATATTTCCAAGCAGAAGAAACGTGATGTCATTGAGTGCTTACTGATGAAGGTTTACAGGCTGCCCAACATCTACAGAATGTTTATGGAGATGACACCGTTGACAAAAATCACTGATAAGACATTGCTCTTGTCAGTGTTGTCCTCTCGACTCAATGATGGCATGTTGCTTCTGCTTAGAATCCATTATTTACCTGCAATGAAAAAGAGATACTGTATACTAGAAGAAGAGTTACTCTACTGTAGCTCACCCCTGTAGGAGCCACATGTTAAGCCCTCTGAAATGGATTTCTTTCTCCAACTGGCTAGACTACTGCCTTTTCTGCTCTGACACATCCCTACCCATTGGCATGGACAACACCAGATTAGGATAATACTTAGTGTATTCGAATTAGATTTTTAAAACAAACCAAGGTAATGCAGAACTATGATCACATGCTACAGTATACCATAGTTTGTAGACGCTATACCTCAAACAAACCAATTAATATATATTTACTGGGATTTTTTTTTTTAACAAAGACATGTAGCAGAATACATTTTAGCCTACATCTATAAAGAAATGTGAGTTTTTTTCTATTTTTTTTTTTATTGGATATGTTTAATATTGGATTTTTTTTTTATTTTTTCAGTTTCCGGTATTTTTTTGTTTATATCCCCAAAAAAGAAAAAAAAAAACCCAGTGGTGATGAAATACCATGAAAAAGACATATTTGTGTGAGAAAATGATATAAACTTAATTTTCATACAGTGTTGCATAACCGCACAATTGCCAGTTAAAGTAGCGCAGTGCTGAATAGCAAAAAAAAATGCTCTGGACAAGAATGGTTGAACTGGATGGACTTTTGTCTTTTTTTCAGCCAGACTAACTATGTAACTATGTAAGAAGGGAGTAAAAACAGTCTGGAGCTCAAGTGGTTAAGAATGAATACTCTAGATTTTGTATACGTGCAATCAAAGGTGTTACTTTTTAAACAAACCCAGAACTGGAAGGAGATTAGAAAAATGTAACATTTTTGTATCTGTACTGTCAGAGAGGACAAAGAGGCATTGACATATTGTACATATGGTATTATTGACCAAAAGATTAAAAGGAAAGACTAACTGGATGGTTTCTGATTGTTAAATGTGTTCTATTCCAGTAAAGCCGCTAAACCCGCCATCATCCCGGATATCCAGGTGACAGAAGCTGAAGACATCACTTCCCCTGGTAAGTGAGAAGGATATTTATTGTGTACGTTTTGATCTTAAAAAAGGCTAAATAGGTAGCCGAAATATCCCACAGTAGTCCCTCTACATATGGCATCATGAAGAAGGATTTCCCCCTTTATACAGTACTTGCATTTCTGCTCTTCATAGGAAGGACCTGATCCATATGCAAGCATTTCCTAAATCTTCAAAATCTGTGCTTTTGTAAATGATGATCCCCTTTATCATACAGTGTCCCAGTTTCCCTAACCATTTGTCTACCACTGTATGTTTATGATGGACATTTATTCCTGCAGTGCTGTTTATATGGCATTGCAAAAATGACCCACAGGTGGCCAGTTTGTGCGTTTAGTTGCTGTGATCTGAGCTGTCATTTGACAGCTCTCATCACAGGCAGTGTACAGAGCCCATCTGAATGGCTCAGCAGCTTGGCACAATCACAAATGTATACAGTTTCTCTTCCTCCATATTACTAATGAATAAATGATCCTTCATTAGTTCCAGATCCCAGATAGCAGTAGATTTATGGTAGGAAGTGGATGGATTGTGGGCAGGGCCAGCACTACAACTAGGCAAACTAGTCAGCTGCCTAGGGCGTAGCCATGGCCAGGGCCACCGATTATGCAGTACAGCCGGCCCTGCTGTAACATTAATTATATTTTCTTGGGCCCCTTCAATTCACCAGAGGGGCCCAGGAGGCTAGGAGCAGATAGACACTCGGCAGTCGGAGATGATGAGGGCACAGGCAGCAATGGGAACCTGGTGCACAGGCAAGCTCACAATTTCTGTTTTCTGAGGCACAGAGATATAGCCATACACTATATACAGACAGACAGACAGTTTTAGGGACACTAAAAATGTGCGGCTGAGCCACACTTTTACCATACCCCAACCACTCCCCATTATGCTGCAAAGGCACTGCCGATGTAGTTTGCCAATAGTGGCTGGCTGTTGTGTAAATCCCCCAGCTTCTGTACTATGGTGGCAGTGCTTTTGCAGCATAATGGGGATTGGTTGGGGACAGTAAAAGTTTGGCACAGCTGCACATTTTTAATGTCTTTCAAACACAAGTATAAATGAGAACTAGCATTTCATTGAGTGTGTGTAAATCAGGTCAGGTGGAAATGATCCAATAGCTGTTAACCTCCAGATCGCTTCCACACCCTCCTATGCCCTGCCATGTTTCCCAGGTCCAAGCTCCCACCAGCACACCTGGGACCTACATGGTGGGTGCCACTGATAGAAGGGAGGGAGATCAGAGAACACCTGTTCACTGATGTCGCTAATCTCCCCTTCTTGTTAATGACGCAGAAGCAGCGTGTTACACCCTGATTGCACTGAGAGAAACTTGGCATGCGATTTGCATGCCATACGACTTGCAAATCATATGCCAAGTCGCACCCTATTGTCCGCAATTACAGCGGTCATATCTAAAGTAGTACATGCACTACTTTTGGGGCAATTTGCTTAGACATATGTGTCAGATGTCTTGCAAATCGCACCTGAAATCGGCATGCCGCCCGACTTTGAAATCGTGCGACTTCACTGTAAGTCACATGACTTCAAAGTCGAGTTTGATGTGACCAGGGGGTAAAATGTCACTTCGGGGTCCTGGTATCCCTGTCCCCAGCAAACGCAAATGCTCCTGCACTTGGGGATGGACTCAATGTAGGCTAGGACCACATCATGAATGTCCTGGAATATGCACACCTTGCTGCCCTTAAAAGACTGGGGAAATCCAAATATACTGAATGGAGAAAGAACAAACAGAGGGCGCACCGTAATAGGGAGTGTAGACATCCAATAGGCTGACGCTTTTCGAGGGCTTGCCTCTTCCTCAGAGCCATTGAGGAAGAGGGAAGTCTTCAAAACGTGTTAGCCTATTGGATGTTTACACTCCCTATTACGGAGAGTCACGTATCGCGGTTTTGACCCAGCTGCTCTTTTTTATGATGTGCCTTTGACTTTACTGTCGTTTGTGAGTACAATACCTATTTCTATCTCTTATTAAACATTTTTTATGGTAATGCACTAGGCCGGTGCGCCTCTGTTTGTTCTTTCTCCATCCCTGTCCCCAGGAAGGAGTGGATGGTGTTAGCTGGAGATGAAGCTGTCTCCTGCAAATCTAAGCCAATCTGTGAAAAAGAGGCATCCAGCCAATGAGGTTCCGTGCAAGCCATGCTGTCTGCAACATCCGTTCCTCCCAGCTCCCCAGTCAGTCTCCACATGGAGCTAACATTGGCAAGGATTAGCTCTGTGTGGAGTTTTTTTTTTTTTTTTTTTTTGGGGGGGTTACAAGTAGCTGGTCTTGCTTAGGTCGCAAAATATTTTTTCATCAGCCCTAATTGTGGGATTGTTTAACTCTTTCACCTTTCCTGTACATGTTATCTCAATCCTGCCTCTGTGAATTGCATGTTAACCCTTCACCTCCCTCACCCTGCACATTAACCCCCTCATTTTCTCCTCCCAATGTATGTGACTGCTACATTAACCCCTTCATCTGCTACTTCCTCAGTGATCTGTACACTTAATGTATCTAATGCACCATGAACCAGCTTCATGCTCCAGCTGCTGAAAGAAAACCAATGCAGGGCAAAGCAACAGGTTTACTTTAATTCTCAATTCCTCAGCAGCACATACTCTCCTTTAATTGCTCCACCACCTCTCCATAAAACTGCCAGGAGAAAAGACACGCCATAATACTACCAAGTACAGAGAAGCATCTGATTTGCTCCCTTCCCTTTCATGTGACAGCGCTGCTGATTGGCCAACAACTGTCACATTGAGAACAGTCCTCAGTCTTGTTTAAACTACTACAGGATTGATCCATTGCTGGTTTTGCTGGTAAGTGCTGGACGATGGAAAAATGAAGGCTAACCTGTAGCATTTTCCTGCGTGACCATAGCACAGGTTCACTTTAAAGCTGCAGTTTAACTAAAAACAAAATCCATACAGCTTAAGCCCTGGTTCACACTGATGCGGTGCGGAATTTGCAGCGTTTTCAGTGCGAATTCCGCACCGCATCAGAATCACACCCCGTTCGTGCGAACTGCTGCGGGTGTGTATGTTAACACCCCAAAAGCGGTCCGCAAAATGCGGTGCGATGTGCAGAATCGGATTGCATAGGTGTGAATACCCATGAGATTCGATTCTAATGCAGACCCAAAAAAGGGTCCTGCATGTTTTGGGTGCGGTGCGATTAGAGCCATACAAAATGTATGGCTCCAATCGCACCGCACACAAATCACATGTGATTTGTACAGGAATGCAGTGTGGTTCCTGTGCAAATCACATGTGTTATACGGCACTGCATGTATGTGAACCCAGGCTTAGTCAGCTCACTTACATGTAATGAAGTATATCCCACATTGTGCAAGCAGCTGAATCCTGGAGAAATATTCACTACAGGGATGCCTGTCCTCTTCTTGGCTCTGAACTTCTTGGCAGTGGTTAATAGCTTCGGTCTTCAAGCCACAGCTAAAGGGGTCCCCACAGTCCTCCTTTACAAAGCCTAGGCCAGCAGTGGGGCCCGGGCAGCAGGCGAAAATGGATGTGGACAGGGAGAGCAGTTACTGGAACCCATCCACTGTATGGATCTCTGCAGCAGCTGAAAGTTGGCGGGAGGGAAAGGAGAAGCCAGCTTTCAACTGCTGCAGAGAGAGCCACACAGGGGACGCAGTTCCATTAATTTCCTCCCACCATGTCGATCACCTTCCATGTGCACCATCCTCTTCCCCCTGCTGCCCTGGCCCCCATGTGCTCCCACCCACAGCTCTGCTGGCTTCAATCCGCCCCTGCCGGCAGCTACACGCACATAGGGGGATGTTTCAGGATGGAGAACAGGGAAAGGGGCCTGTAAATATGTCATATTCACTGGCCCCTTTTTTTTTATGAATGAACAAAAAAAGAGTGAGCAGTACCGATCACTCACTGTGTTCGTTCATAATTGAAGCATGGTAAACTGTGTTAATTATGCTTCAGTTTATGCATGAACAGGAGGCTCTGTTCATTCACTGTCTAGTGCAGCTGTGGCTGTAGAGAAAGGAACTGAGGAATCAGTATCCTCCGTCCCTTTCTCTGTTTCAAAAGCTTGACATCGGGTCTGTTTAGACTCCTCATGTTTCACCAAATAATGCCCACATAACAAAACCTAGTCTAGTGTACACACAGCTCCAACCGCATAAAAACAAACAACAAAAAAACATTGATCCACACGGTACAGGCCAGAGCATCCATGTGAATGTGCCCTAATACTTCATTCACACAACACAATGTGGGACATACTTAAAGATAAGTGATGTGGCTAAAGTAAACTGAAGCTCCCCAGGCGTATCTGACTAATGGTTGTAGATATAAAAGTCCCTTTCCCACCTTTTTCAGCCTTGTTGTAAATCACAGGGCCTCATTTCCACAGTTTGTTCTTATCATTATCAGAAGATTATAGAGAACACTTACATCTAAACTGCTCAGCTGCAGCCTCATATACACCAGCACGTGATGCTTCAGGTAAATGTTGAAGTCGCCAGCTTCTTTCAGCTGTGTAGTTTGGCAGAATCCATGTCCTGTTAGATATATCCAGATTCTCTGTCTCTTTCAGTTTCAATGGGAATTTACTGTATGTAAGACGCCATTATAAGGCACAACATGTGTACGGAGCATGTGATTTACTATAATCACATGTACAGCTATGACAGACTTGGTAACAATAGGTCACTTGTGTGCTGTATCTGGAGACACAAATATGACTGCTTTCACCTTGTACCATGTTTACGAAAGAGCCCTCAGAATTTTGAGAATTTTATTCAATAATTTTTAGGATGGTCCCAGGGCTCTTCCATGCATATTAAACTGATTCTAAAGGATTAAAAAACAAACAAACATGTCCTACTTAATGTGTAATGGTTTTGCACAGTGCAGACCTGATCCTCCTTTTTTCTGGTCCCGCACTGGCGCTTTTGGCTCCTCCCCCATGCTGAAGCCCCCCCATAGCAACTTGCTTGC